CGTCAGTTCCAGGGGATAACCGGGTTTTTCCGTAGGTTTATTCCGAACTATAGCACAATTACCAAACCCCTTACACAACTACTCAAGAAGGACGAGATTTTTAAGTGGACAACTGCACAAGATGAAGCCTTTTTAGCGTTGAAGAACGCGCTCTCATCTGAACCGGTGCTGGCCATGTTCGATGCAACAAAGCCGCATGAAGTACATACAGACGCGAGTGCTTTGGGTATCTCAGGGATCTTGTTGCAGCGGGATGAGGAAGGTCTAAGGCCAGTTCAGTATTATAGCCGTCAGTGCAGTGCAGCTGAAAGTCGTTATGCGAGTCACGAGTTGGAGGTGCTTGCGATCGTGGAGACTTTAGAGAGGTTCCGAGTGTACTTGTTGGGTACGCATTTCGTTGTCGTTACGGACTGTAACGCAATAGCAACAACAAAGGCAACAACATTACTTCAGCCACGCGTAGCCAGATGGTGGCTTAAGCTACAAGAATTCGAGTTCGAATGCACTCATCGACCAGGTGACAGAATGACTCACGTAGACAGCCTTAGTAGAGCTCCAGTGCAACCTCCGACAACAACAACAACCGCAGCTGAGATGGTGATGAAAGTACGTGAAACGGTAACCACCAGTGAGGATTGGGTTTACGCTATGCAGATTCAAGATCCCAAGCTAAGGCGAATTGCTGATATTTTAAAAGGTAACGCGTCCCCAACCGATGCAGAAGAAAAACAAACACGCATCGACTATCGGCTTCAGCAAGGTCGATTGTATCGCAACGTTAAAGCACAACTTAAACTGATGATTCCACAAGCAGTACGGTGGCGAATAACCAAAGCCTGCCACGATGACGTGGGCCATTTTGCTGTGGAAAAGACAGTCGAGCGCATTGGGAAACGGTTCTGGTTTCCGAGAATTAGGAGGTATGTAAACTCATGCGAAGAGTGTTGTTTATTTAAGGTGAAGGGAGGATCCGAGAGTCAGCTCCATGTTCTCGAAGTGTTGCCGATACCATTTCGAACTGTTAACATCGATCACCTGGGCCCGTTTCCAAAGAGCAAGAGGGGCAACGTTTACATTTTGGTTATCGTCTGTGGCTTCAGCAAATACGTGCTACTGAAAGCGTTACGGAATGCAAAAACTGAACCAGTAAAGAAGACACTGGAAGACATGATGTCTATATTTGGCCAGCCAATCCGCCTTACATCTGACCGTGGGACAGCCTTCACATCCAAGGCTTTCCAGGACTTTATGCAGAAGCACGGAATACAGCATGTTAAGACAGCCGTTAGAACCCCTCGGGCCAATGGTCAGGCCGAGCGCGTCAACAAAACTATTTTGAGCTCTATCAAATGCAGTAATAAAACATCTAGGGATTGGGACTGTACCTTACCAAGTATTCAATGGGCCTTGAATTCACAACGAAACAGCGTCACCAAGTTTACGCCAAATGAGTTGGTGTTCCATTTCAACCCAAGGGACGTGTCAGCTAATCGACTTATCCAAGCGCTGCACGACCAAGTCGACAATAATGAGGATATCGGGAACAAACGAGACGAGGCAGCTGCTAACATATTAGCTGAACGACAAAAGTGGAAGAAGCGATACGATCAGAAGCATTTGCAGCCGCGCCAGTATGAGGTTGGTGATTTGGTATACGTTGATTATACACCAGCAGCAACGGGCGAATCACACAAGCTCGATCCGGCTTACAAGGGTCCTTATATCGTGGCTAAGGCACTCAGCTATGACAGATACCTAATCGAAGATTTACCGGATTTATCAATTACTCAGCGTCGATATAGTAACATTCTCAGTGTCGACCACATCAAACCTTGGTGTGTACTGGAGCCAGACCTGGACGCTAGCGAGAATGACGATAGCGAGTCGACCGGGTCGGTCGAGGAGTCAGGAGTGGCCGAGTTGTAAGAGCCAAGCAGTTAGCATTGAACGGTCGTCGAGTAAAGACGTGACAGCGCTCCGGCATATCAGTCAATTTAATCATATACATACATACCAATACATTTATGTTCCAATACATTCGTTTCAATTAATAAACATACATACTTACACATTCATAACTCAGGCATCTTGACATATAAAATTTCATAAAATTTCAATGTCTATTTATCATATTGCTCAAGTGTTAGCCGACCTAGAGGCCATACGGGTCCCCAACCAAAAGTTTGTATCCGCCACTGGTTATGAGTGGGTGACGGTGACTCAGTAGTCTCAAGTTTTATTATGCAGCTTGTTTTTTTATTTCTTCTAAAACGGTGAGAATCTTGAGATCCCGACGGTGTTGGATATTTGTGACATAATACGGTGAGTTGACAATCGTCCTCAGAGTTTTAGAGTGGAATCTTGGAAGTTTCAATATTAGAGATTGATACTGTTTCTCACAGCTGTATACCCTAAGTCCAATTCGGTTTTATGGTTATTGAGTAGAGTAGTAGTTTGTGAAGAGTACTAAGGGTTAACTTAGCTGAGTGTATTCTAGGCTTAAGATAGTATTCGATTACTACTTATCGATTACTTCGTATGATCTTGATGTTGAACAAGTAAGAAAGTCTAAGTTCGGGCGGAGCCGAACATTAAATACCCGGCGCAAGTATTAAATATATGTTTTCCACCTTTCCGAAAGCTGCCGCTACTGATAAGCCGGGTGTATAAATTTTAAGTAAATTAGCGTCCTTAAATTTCGAAATATTGAAATTTCAAGCATTTCTGAAATTTACCGGTTATATGAAAAACGGCCGTAATTTTAGTCCGATTTCAACAATTTTCAACGGTTTGCTTTTGTGTGGCAAGCACAATAACCGTACCGAGTTTGGTACAAATTGGTAGAACGGTTACCGAGACACATATATGTGATCATAAGTGGGCGGTGCCACGCCCATTTTCCAAAATTTTATCACAAGCATATTTCTTTGTTAAGAATTGTTGCACCCATCAATTTTGAAAAAATTTGCTTTAATATTTACTGATTTATCGAGGATTTCGTATTTTTCTAAATTACCGTTATATGGGATGTGGGCGTGGTTATTGTCCGATTTTAAAAGTTTGCGGCCATTTGGTATTTTGTACCAGGACCAACAACTGTGCCAAGTTTGGAAGAAATTGGTGCAGCGGTTACCAAGATATACGCATGTAACCATAAGTGGGCGTGGCTACGCCCATTTTCCAAAAATCTATAATATTCTTATTTTTCGTCTAAAACTCATTGTAAATATCAATTTTGAGTGAATTATCTTTAGTAGTTACTAAAATATCGCAGTTTTCGTATTTCTGAAAATTACCGTTATATGGGAGGTAGGCGTGGTTATTGTCCGATTTCGCCCATTTTCAATACCATCCGTCCTACGCCCAAAAGAAGTCCACGTACCAAGTTTCGTTAAGATATCTCAATTTTTACTCGAGTTATCGTGTGCACAGACGGACGGACGGACAGACAGTCACCGCTTAATCGATTTCTCGTTTCATTGTGATCATTTATGTATACATTTGTCTATATCTATCTCGATTTGTTTTGCCTGTTACAAACAACCGTTTTGTGAACAAAGTTATAATACCCTTGTGCACAAGTGCGCTCGGGTATAAAAATAAATAAAATAATATTTTTGTATATATAACAAGTAAGAAAGTCTAAGTTCGGGCGGAGCCGAACATTAAATACCCGGCGCAAGTATTAAATATATGTTTTCCACCTTTCCGAAAGCTACCGCTACATGATAAGCCGGGGTGTATACATTTTAAGTAAATTAGTGTCCTTAAATTTCGAAATATTGAAATTTCAAGCATATCTCAAATTTACCGTTATATGAAAAGCGGCCTCAATTTTAGTCCGATTTCAACAATTTTCAACGGTTTGCTTTTATGTGGCAAGCACAATAACCATACCGAGCTTGGTACAAATTGCTAGAACGGTTAGCGAGATACATATATGTGATCACAAGTGGGCGGTGCTACGCCCATTTTCCAAAATTTTGTCATAAACGTATTTCTTGGTAAAGAATTGTTGCAATCATCAATTTTGAATAAATTAGCTTCAATATTTACTGATTTATCGAAGATTTTGTATTTCTCGAAATTACCGTTATATGGGATGTGGGCGTGGTTATTGTCCGATTTTAGAAATTTTCGGCCAGTTGGTATGCTGTACCAGGGTCAATAACTGTGCCAAGTTTGGAAGAAATTGGTGTAGAGGTTACCAAGATATACACATGTAACCATAAGTGGGCGTGGCTACGCCCGTTTTCCAAAAATTTATAATATTCATGTTTTCCGTCTGAAACTCATTGTAAGTATCAATTTTGAGTGAATTGTCTTCAGTAGTTACTAAAATATCGCAGTTTTCGTATTTCTTAAAATTACCGTTATATGGGAGGTAGGCGTGGTTATTATCCGATTTCGCCCATTTTCAATACCATCCGTCCCACGCCCAAAAGAAGTTCACGTACCAAGTTTCGTTAAGATATCTCAATTTTTACTCGAGTTATCGTGTGCACAGACGGACGGACGGACGGACGGACGGACGGACGGACGGACGGACGGACGGACAGACAGTCACCGCTTAATCAATTTCTCTTTTCATTCTGATCATTTATGTATACATTTGTCTATATCTATCTCGATTCGTTTTGCCTGTTACAAACAACCGTTATGTGAACAAAGTTATAATACCCTTGTGCACAAGTGCGCTCGGGTATAAAAATGATGTGAATTATTAAAAAGAACGACGGCCGAAGAGATACCACGTGTTTCATTGGGCAATACATAACCGATTTTTGGCGACGAGATAAAGCGAGTGTAAAATCTGAGTGCGCTAAATAATAATTAGAGAAGGTATCAGTACTTATGTAGATAAGTGAAAAAAATATAAAATAAAGTACACTACGGAACATAACCTCGTTGACTAAACATGGCGCTAATAGGCTCCATTGAACAATTCACTTTCGGAGATGGTTTCGAAGAATATTTGGAGCGGTTGGAGCACGCACGTGAGGAAAGTCTTAAGGACTAACTATAATATGCAGCGCGGATTTTGTACTGCGCGGGTCTGCTTATTCGCCAACGCTTTCGTCGCGACCGGCTCATCTGAGGCTGTGGAGAAAAGGACATTGTTAATTGAAACAGACGTGGTTTGGAATTTCAATGCACTTTTTTTTTATTTAAATTTTAAGGTATGTGTGTGATGAGTGTGTGTGTATGTGTCGTTTTGTCTTCTTAATCTCTACGTTTATGGTTGGCAGGCTCCCGAAACACCCAGACCGTATATGGTCGCCTGGACCAGGAGACCACCCACGGTGGATGGGGGGGTCCTGCTCACCATCATCTGCGCATGCAAATCGAGGCCCAGTGTGAGGCGTATTGGTGACGCGCGAAAGAATTGCGGATCCGTCAAGCGCATGAACTAGAACGGCGCCGCGACCTTAGGGTCCACGTTCGACGGCGGATTCATACGTATGTGGTGGTCCAGCACGACCGCTTGCGTCGTAATCCGGTCGGAGCTGCCGTATGTTCCTCGCATGGCGATCGTGCAACGCTGAAGTCGTCCGGACCCATTGCGTTCCAGCTGGAGATCTCTCACTAGTTCCGAATCAACCAACGAGTTCGGTGCGCAAGGGTCAATCATTGCGCGGACCAAATGAAGGCGGCCCCTTGCTTCAATCCTCACTATTGCGGTCGGCGCCATGGGTATAAGCGCACGAATAATTGGCGTTGGTATTGCGCTTTGCGTTAGGCGCCCTGTTCGGAAGCCGGTAGGTGGAACGTGTTGTAGGGCACGATTACTATTTTTGTTCTCGTCGGAGCGGTTTTTGCGGTATGGTGTTGATTTTTGTAGTCTAGACGATCGCTTAGACGAGCGGAAAGGACGAGTTTCCGCGCCGTCGCGTCGTTGCTGCTTACGCTGCGATCGTGATGACGGGCGAAGAGGACTTGTTTCCGCGCCGTCGTGTTGTCGCCAGTTGTATTGTGGACGCGTTTGCGAGCGGAAAGAACGAGTTTCGAGTGGCATCGATCCTTGCTGCTGCACATGTCGAGGCGGTGGAACGGCGAGAGGCAGTTTGGGCAATATTTATGCAGCAGGACAGCACGCAACCTTGCTTCGACCGCTTTGCCGCGGTAAAGGGGGCATAGTCGGATGCCATGAGCTCCGCCGCATAACCGGCGCAAAACCGTAAATTTATCGGGGCGTTCTTCCGCCTGAGCGCGATTGGCCGAGAAACAAGTCATTCTGTAAATGTTACTCATCGTTATGACCGTAGGTGTAAAAAATTACGTACTATTATTTTTGGGTTGGGTGGCAAGTGGCGAATATATGTATGTCTGTATGTCTCGTGAAAGCACACTTTATATATATACGTGTGATATCCTTATGTACATATATATATACTATTTGCTTATTTATTTAATTTGTTTCGAATTGGCGAGGTACAAAACTGGGCCAAATCAGACTTTCAGTCCCCGCGTACTTGTGCGTTATTAAGTATAGACTAATGGTCTTACTCTTAAAAAATAAATAGACTTACAGAGCTCTACAAAGTGGCGTTTTTACAAAAAAGTTGCAATTTATAAAGCGGTTAAAGCCTTCTTTATCTTCAATGAATTTGAGCGCAAGGTTTCGTGTTTGGGTACAAAAGAGATCTGAGTAAGGCGACCATTGGTATAAGATTCTATTTCATTACATTTGTTACACTTTGCTTTTGCATCGAACAGGCTTTTACCAGAGAACTTAGATAGATAGAGAAGGTGCAAATTTTTGGAACGTAAAATTGTTTGGCTGAAAAATAAATCCATGGAATATCACCACAGCGCGATTAACATTTCAAGAAGAGTTAACAGAGAAAAATGTAAATTTCTGTTATGATAATGTTATATTTGTTGCAAGTGTCTGGCTATGTGTTGCTTGGTTGCAGGTGAATGCAGAAACGTATTTATGTATATTTTTTTTATAAAATTAAATAAATTAATATAGTTAAATTATATTAAATGTACTTTTATATTAGTTAGAATTGCTGATTTGCATTTCTGCATGACCATTTGTTAATTATAATTTATTTAGTAGTTAATGTTGCTAAAAACTTAAAAAGCATCTGTTCAAGTTCGCTTCTTGTACGAGTATTATATTATGTAAATAGTAAAAATGCATGTTAGTTAAAAAAATGATAAAATTGGTTTTTTCACATACTCACTTTAAAGATGGACGCATTAACAAAAAAATGTATAAAGCAATGTGTTTGTTAACTTCAAACTTGTTTTTGACTTTTACTGCAATACTCGTAGATATTATTTGTAAATAATAGTTCTGGAGTCAAATGCAAATCCATTTCCCAGGCATGCGCATATGGATACTTGTAGTACATACAGATGCGATCAACTAATTAGCAACGAAATTCAAAATGATATTGTTTGCAAATTATGTTTATTTATTTATTTTTAATAATTTCCTTTAAAACATAATTCAATCTATAACAGAAACCACAATAATAAAAGTTTAAAAGCTTGCACAAATTGCAAAATAATAAATCAAACGTCAAAAAATTGTTATAAAAATTTCAAAATTTTTAATTAGAATATTTAGAAAATTTTCGGGTATGCAGCTTTGTAGTCCATGCAATCAAGTACACTAAAGTCCAAGTTTCTAGTCGTTAAAAATTACCGTTGATTTCTTAGAATTTTTTTTTGTGGAGGGTGTTCGCATTTTCTTCCATATAACACATGAACCAATTTTTTTTTGTATGAAAAATAAACAGCAACACCCCAACAAAAAAATCTAAAAAATCAACGGTAATTTTTAACAACTTGAAACTTGCACTTTCTTATAATATAATTGAATGGACTACAATACTGCATACCCGAAAATATATTAAATATTAAAAAATTTGGATGACCATTTCTTGAAGGTTGATTCATTTTTTTTGCAATTTGTGCAAGCTTTTAAACTTTTATTATTGTGGTTTCTGTTCCAGATTGAATTATATTTTAAATGAAAATCATTAAAAATAAATAAACATAATTTGTTAATGGCAGCACAATGTATGTATGTATGTACTTACATATGTAAATATGTACCCCATACACATACTCCAAAATCATTTATTGATAACGTTCTTGCACCTGCACATAATATTACATATATGTAAGTACATACTAACTTTCTTCTTATTTGGGGCTGACAAACTTGAACTTAAGAGTCGACTTTATTTCGTCTACTAATATGCCCCAATAGTTTTGCAGTCAAATGAAAATGCATTTCCCACGCATACATATATGTATCTATATGTACTACATGCTCCATTAATTGACAACGTTTTTGCATGCATATATATGTAAGTACATCCATACATACGTGCATATTGCTGTCTAAGTACTACCACAGAATAAACAGTATACAGAAGACGCACCACATACAAATTTATTTTTCTTCGGCGGACGTAATATTACAACCCGGACCAGAGCAGAGAAGTTAACATTACGACCACTATGAATAACATGGCGACCCGGAACAGAGCAGAGGAGTTAACATCACGTCCACTATGAATAACATGAAGTTAACATCTCGCCATAAACACACATCGTGATCAGCGTTGCCGCGAGCTGGAAAAAAATGTATCAGTTGCCAAGCAGAAAAAGTATCAAAAGCAAACAAAACTGTTGTTTATTAAACTATTATTTAAAAAACAAATAATAAATAAAATTTTATAATTAAATCCATAGTTATAAAAAAAATTATATATCTTGCTTTTGTCTGCTTATTTGCATAATGAAAAACAAACTTATAGGGCCCCTAAACCACACAAAATCCTTGCGCAACCCGAGACTTGTACAAGTCAATATTGTGGAATTTACTACAGCATAAAATTGTGCAAACCTTATTTTGAAGAAACGTTGCTCAAGTAAATATGTGCAAGAAATATGAATGTGCGTTGTATATATTGATAGCTTCATCTTTAAAACGTAAAAAAAAACTAAATTCAAAAAAATATATTTTTTTCGATATTTCGTAATGTTTTTGTGTGGTTTAGGGGTCCTATAACAGTTATAAGAGTTACCCAATCAACTTATAAATATCTATATATAAATTGTGAGACTTCAAATAACAATAAAAAAATATAAGCCTTTAGACTAGTAGTACTATTCATAGTTTTCGAAAATTCATTTCTGCCAGCCGAAAGTATCAAAATACGGCATTTGGGAACAAAAAAGGATCAGATATTAAAATTTAGAAAAACAGTATTAAAAAATATACAATTGTACCAAAACGGCAACGCTGATCGTGATGGAAAACGTAGTTAACATCTTGTCGTCATAGCGACGATGGAATTAACATCGTCAGCCGAGTGAAAATACTGCTAAAGTAACAAAGGCAGCGCCGCTTGTGATACCCTTGCTTGCCTCACCGCTCGTGCCATAAATTCAAATTGGTTGGATAGTCGACATGCGTCTTCTGTATAGTGTTTATTCTGTGGTACTACGCACATATATACAAATGTACATATATGTATGTACATATATGTACAACTCACGGCAGCATACATACAGACATACATAATTACGCGCATATTCAAATACAACAATAACTATTTCATTCATAAACGCATGCGCATATTTCTCAAGGCCAAGTAAATTCATTCATAAAAACAACCGCAGCACATCTCCCCGCAAATTCGTCACCAACAAGCGCAACTTTGTCAATCCGACACAAAAATTCTAAAATCTTAAAATGAAGAAATCTCGGCCAGCCAAGTGAAAAGTAAAATAAGTTATCTCGAATCTTGGCAATTTTTGGTAATTTTTGACAAAACACTCTATTTCTCTGTTCCATACCAATATTTCAATCATTAACTAATATTTTAAAGTGTCATTTTAATAAACATTAAATAAAAGGGTACGTTTTCTGCAGGAAAATAATAATAATATCCCAACGGTTTTTACCCTCCATTCCCGCCCATCCGCACGAGGGGCGCAGTCCGCATGACGTACGGAACCAATATTTTAAATTTGTTGTGCCGAGTCACGATAGGCAGGAGTTTGATAAGTGTCGAGATCTAAAACTGTTCAGCTACAGAACTAAATTCATCAGCTGATTTTATGTATTTATGTCAATAATTCACTTATTGAGAGAGGAGAGTATCGCTTTCTTAATGCTGAAAAGCGGATCTGATATATCAAACGTGCTGGAATGAGAGTTAAAATCCTGGCATAAGCAACGGAGTGGGTCGTGCAATTCAAAATTGGTTTTACAAGCTTTCAGAAATATGGGACAAAAGTGTCTTGATACGCGTGACGGAACATTAAAGCTTACATCAGCCAGAAGAGACGGACTTGAAATTGAGCCTGTCAGTAATTTAACCATAAAAATTATACCAAGCATTTCCCTGCGACTGGCAAGTGTAGGAAGGTTAATAAGTTTTAAGCGACTCGTATAAGGTGGAAGACTATATTGAGAATCCCATCGGAAATTTCTTAAAGCAAAAAGTAGGAATTGTTTTTGAATTGATTCTATCTTGTCTGAGTAAATTTGATACCTTGGATTCCAAACCACCGAGCCGTATTCCAGAATCGGCCTAACTAATGTTGTAAACAGGGTTTTAGTGATATACGGGTCAGTAAATTCTTTTGACCATCGCTTCACAAATGCAAGTACACCTTTAGCCTTGTTGACTGTCACATTAATGTGAAGATTAAAATTAAGCTTAGGATCCATTGTGATACCAAGGTCCACAAAATTGTATACCTGTTCCAGGTTATGGTTACCTATTATATAAGAAACTGGCAGAACAGCTCTTCGCGAGAAGCACATTACTTTACATTTCTTAAGATTTAGAGGCATAAGATTTACTTTACACCAGTAAGCCATGCTGTTTAAGTCTGATTGTAGCAGAGACCTTTCTTCAATTGAAACGTACGATTTATAAAGTTTTACATCATCTGCATACATTAAAATTTTGGAGAATTTTATATCTGTAGAAATATCGTTTATAAAAAGCAAGAACAGAATCGGGCCTAGGTGGCTACCCTGAGGGACTCCTGAAGTAACATCAATGACGTCAGAGATAGTATTTTTAAACAATACCCTTTGTGATCTATCATAGAGGTACGAAGAGATCCAACGTAGAAAATTAGGTGGAAGACCAAGAAGATCAAGTTTATAGATGAGCAACGAGTGGCACACTTTGTCAAATGCTTTACTGAAATCAGTATATATAACATCAACAGTTTTGCTCTCACTAA